ATCAGTGGAGTATGATCATGCCACAATCCCTTTTCCTCCATTTCTCCATCCTATTGGGACTTTGGCACTCACACACATGCTTGCCTCTTTTTTTTTTTTTTTTTCTCTCAATCTGTCGGGGCCAAGATTCAAACCACAATCTACCACATGGGATCCCTTAACCAATAGGTGATGGCACCAGTCCTGTTTTATCTATTTTTGTTCACTTTTTTCTAAAAAGAATCACAAGTACAAGTACTACTGACTTTTAGCTTACACTAGGGATAAAAAGTTTCCTTTTAAAATAAATTTAAGTAAGACATATATACTGGTTAAAACTTGTTAAATAACTGATTAATATAGGTGGTACTTGGATATGGCAAAATTTCTGGTACCTATATGCAAATGATTAAGGCTGGAAAGTACTCCTGTTTATTAAATTATTTCCAGTTTTTTCCCATTGTAAATAAGACTCCAGTGACTATTTGTATAGCCAAATATGTTTGTATAGCCTATTTATCTTTAGTATGAAGTAGTATAAATCCTTGAATATCCACACAGCAAATACACTTAGAGATATGTGCGATTGTGTGTTTTTTCATATAATCTCAAATCCAGAGATTATACGTTCACCAAGTAGTGGATGGGAGTGCCTGTTTTCCCTTACTTCTGCTTTAATTTCATGCTAATTTTCATTTCTTCAGCTGTGACATTTTCAGTTCTTACTCCTCAGTGTTTCAGTAGATTCATTCAAGAATATTTGGTTTCCAGGCAGTTCAATAGTTATTCTTATACTAAAGACTGTAACATCTGTCCTTTATTGAATCATTTTTTTAGCTATAGTTTGATCTTTTAAATAAAGCGATTCCTAGAGCTGCTTGTTTCTTCGTGGTGATAAAAACACAATTATCTTTAAAAGTGATTTCTTTTTTTCTGTAGCTTGCACAGTTTCGACAAAGAAGAGCTCAATCTGATGGGCAGAATTCTTTGAAGAAACAGAAAAAAAAGAGAAAGACTTCAAGCAGTAAACATGATATGTCAGCATATCATGGCTTGACTGTTGACCAACCACAGAGTGATGAGATGCACATAAATAGTTCTCAGAAAGTAGAATCAGCTGGGACTCCTGAATCTACAATAATGAGAACTCTACATAGTGAAGAAATAATGAAGCATGACCAAGTTTCTGTTGAAGTAAGTATTCATTCAGATTTTTTTAACTTCAGGGTTCTAAATGGAAAGTAGTTGTAATGACAGCAGTCATTAGTACCCAGTACAGTTTAATTATGACTTTCGTGTCCTTTTCAAAGTTTCTGTGATAGGATTGCTGAACAGTCATACCTAAAATATTTAATAATCTCCAAGAGGGAATTTTGTCTACTTAGTTCAACAAACATTTATTTAGCTACTTCAAAAGGGTTGAACATCAAGGATTGATACAAAAATGAATATGGTGGTCCCTGCACTTTAGGAAAATTAGTCTGTGGCAGAAGGAAGATGTAAAGGTATGCATTATACTCAACTAGAGCTATGCATTGACCACATCCATGGTACTCTAGAGCACAAGGAATGTCCAGATCAGCCTTTTGTATGTTAATCGGTAAGGTTTCCTAGAAGAGGTAACGGGACTGAGACTTGAAGTAGGAGTTGGAGTTAGCTACAGGCAGAAAACTTGTTCAAGAAGTCGGGGTTGGCAATGGCATGAGAGTGCTTCTTTCAGGGATGAATAAGAATGCAATGTGAAAAGAACATGTGGAGCCCTGAAAAGATAACTATAAGTGGGACCAGCAGTTAGCGTAATGGCTATGTCACTGGACTCCCATGTAGTCGACTGCGGTTCGAGTCCCAGACCTGGTGGCTTAAAACTCACTCCGGGCGTGTGTGTGTGCGTGCCCAAGATCCCGAGAGGAGAATGGAGCTGAGGGGATTGTGGTGTGGCCATCCCCCCTGGGAGGTGATTTCTCACTTTCTGTCTCTCTGTCTGTCTCTGTCTGCCTGGCAAGCACATATGCCCTATAGCAAAAACCTCTCTCAAAAAAAAAAAAAAAAGATAACTGTATGTGTTATGTAATAATTACTCATTTTTAAGACATCGTCAATCCTTGATATGTGCATTAGTTGCATTCTGTAAAGTTACAGCAAGTACTTAGTGAAAACTGAACATTGCTCCTAGGGAATATACAAGGTTAGGTTCCTGCAAACCACTGGTCACATTTTTGTCAACCTACTTATACCTAATCTTATTTTATGTATTTCTGTTTCAAGGTATCTGTTGGTTCTTTAATGTTGGACCCATGCTACAGCACTGTAACTCATGCCAAACAAAGCTTATCTAAAATGTGTTTTCTCCATGAAGCACATCACAGGCTTCCTGCTCTTAGGAGCACTGGACAGCACTTCAGCTTTATACTTGGGGGGCATTTTAAGCAGTGAAATTACTGATAAAAAAACACAAAAATGTGAAAAGTTTGACACTAAGTGGACCTTGAAAAGGATACTAGTTTACATTGTAAGAACTAAAACAAGAAGGCACAGTGTAGCCTTATTTTACCTCAGCTGGGAACATGTGTGTTGGATGTCAAAAAATTTCACTGCCCTGCTCATGTCCACAAATGATTTCAAATGTGCTGCAAATGTTGATTTCAGGGTTACGAACAAATTATATTGAAAAGGTAAGTTGCAAATACAGAATTTACAAATAAATGAGAATCAGCTATGTTCTTGTTATATGATTTGCAATTATTCTCTTTTTTTAATCTGCCTTTTCTTAAAAGATTTTTGCCATAGAGTGTGTGTGCTCGCCCGATAGAGAGAGAGATGGAGAAAAATCACCACACACTCCGGGGTAATGGCCATACCTTAGTCCTTTCTCCTCCATTCTCCTCTCAAGACTTTGAACATGCATGCACATGTGCCTGGCATGATTTTTAAGCCTATGGATCCAGGACTCCGAACTGCATTGGCCAAGTGGAAGTCCAGCACCTTCAGAATTGTTTTAGCTTTTCTGAGTTCCTTGCAGTTCTATATCAATTTTAATATTAGGTTTTCCATTTCTGAATATAAGGCATCAGAGATCTTGGTGTGAATTGTGTTGAATCTGTAGATGAATTTGGGAAATATTTATCTTAACACTATTAAGTCTTCCAACCCATGAATATTGGATGTTTTTTCATTTATTTAGGTTTTCTTTGATTTCTTTCAATGTTATTTTGGTAGTTTTTAGTATATAAGTCTTGGACTTGTTTTCTCAGCTATATTCCTAAGCATATTACTGCTTTTTGTTGCTATTGTTAATAGAATTTTCTTAACTTGGTTTCTGATTTTTCATCACCATTGTATAGAAATACAACTGGTTGTCTGTATATAGACTTTATACCTTGCATCCTTACTGAAGTCAGCCATCAAGTCTATTAGTTTTTTTGTGTGAATTCCTTAGAGTTTTTTTCTGTATATTAGAGCATGTCATTACAGCTAGAGATGTTTAACTTATTTCTTTCCAATCTCGATGTCTTCTTTATTTTTCTTCCCTAATTTTCATGGGTAAGACCTCTAGTATGGTGTTGAAAAGAAATACATCCTTATATTGTTTCTCATATTAGGGAGAAAGTAGTCTTCATGTTTTCACTACCAAGTATTATAATATCATAGGTACCTATAATATAATAGGTACTTTTTATCAGATTAAGTACATTTCCTTCTATTTCTGATTTATTGTTTTTATCAGGGAGTGTTTAATTTTGTTAATGCCATTCCTGTGTCTATTGTGATGTGAATTTAATACAAAAGTTGTTACTTGGGACTAAAGATTAGAGAACATAGCTTGTATTATTTCAGTACTTTCAAATGATGAGATTTAAAACAACGGTTTATCTGAGGCTTTTTTTTTTAATTCGTCAGACTAGATAATTTTGATTGATCTGTCTTGAAGTATGTTGATTATTTCTTCTTCCTGCTTAGATCTGCTTTTGAGCCCCTATAGTGACTTTTTCATTTCTATTGTTTTTCTTTTCAATTCCAGAATTTCTCTTTGGTTCTTTTCTGATTTTTCCCCCCCTAATTTTTATTTTCTATTTTATGAAGCATCATTCTTATAATTCCTTCAGTTTTTTTTAAGACATTATTTCCTTTGGTTATTTGACTATATTGAAAATAGTTGCATTAAAAGTCTGTCTGTTTAAGGGACCAGCAGTTGGCATATTGGCTATGTAGCTGGACTCCCATGTAGTCAACCCAGTGGCTTAAACTCATACCAGGCATGTGTGTGTATATGCCCAAGATCCGAGAGGAGGAGGGAGGAGAAGGGATTGCAACGTGGCCATACTCTCCTGGGGGGCGTGATTTCTCGCTTTCTCTCTCTCTGTCTCTCTCTTTCTTTTTGGTTAGCGCACACGCCCTGTAGCTAAAACCTCTCCAAAAAAAAAAAAAAGTCTGTTAAGTCCATTATCTATGTTTCTCAAAGGATAGTTTTAACCACTGTTTTTCTTGTACATAGGTCATGCTTTCTTTTTTATTTGTGTGACTTGTAATTTTTTAAAGAATCATTTCATTTGAGACCAGCAGATGGCATAATGGTTACATCACTGGACTCCCACATAGTTAACTGAGGTTCGAGGCATGGACCTGGCTGCTTAAAACACACTGGGCATGTGAGCATGCATGCCCAAATCCCAAAAGACTGGAGGAGAAGGGATTATGGCATGGCCACCCCCCCAGGGAGGGGCGATTTCTCGCTTTCTGTCTTTCCGTTTCTGTCTCTCTGGTGAGCACACATGCCCTATAGCAAAAATTGCTCTTTAAAAAGAAAAGAATTACTTAATTTTACTTATTTATTTTTAAATAATTATTAATTTAATTTAATTTATTATTATTATTTAATTTGACCAGAGAGAGACACAGAGAAAGAGAAAGTGAGAAAGCAAGCTAGCAGGTCCAGGATGCCAACCAAGGTCGGCCATAAGGAAGTCCAGCACTTTAATCACCATGCCACTCGGTCATCCTAATTTTACTTATTTTTAACTCAGCATTTTAAGTAATACACAGTGTTATATTACTTCATATTATATGTTATATTACCAGTGCTTGATACATTTTAAGGTGTATTATCTTTCTCTGCATAACAAATCAATATTTAGATTATTTACTATAGTTTTAACATTCAAAAGTAACAACTACCTTGGTCACCATTTAATACTCAATACTACGGTTTCTAGTACATAGGATCCATTTATCAGTGGGTATTGAGGTTGTGTCATGAAACTATTTTAGATTTAAAAGGGGGTTTAATTCATGAGTTAGGAACCACTGTACAGGATTTTAGAGTAGGGGGCAAGCCTATTTCTTCTGTTCCTGTTGTCAATTACTACTTGATAGAAATAGTAACTTAGAACTAGGTCTTGAATGTTGAATACGATTTTCCTAGGTGTTGATGAGAAAAGTGATAGTGACAGTTAACATTTATTCAATGAAAGTGTGAAACTCTTTGGGTTTCACTTGCCTCACCCAGTAACATGAAATTCTCAGATTAGAGGAGAGTATGAATACTTAAAGCAGTACTACTTCTGGATTTGTTCCTTGACTCTTCCTGGTACTTCTCAACTGACGGGCTGAGATAAACTGTTCTCTTCACACCCAAACCCAAAGGATGTGACAGTGAAACGAGAATGTCTTCGCAAGTGCTTTATAAGCTGCAAAGTTGTTATAACAACAGAGGTTGTTAATTTCGCTATCAAGTTATTAATAGTACTTTTTTATCATCAAGTCTGATGATTTTTTGGGGATAGTGAGTATTTCTGACAGTAGTCTATTAGGACTTTCTTTCATTTAAAAGAGGTACAAGGCCTTTTATGTGGTGAATTTTCCACCATGTTTTACCAGTAGTCATGTTTTGATAAAATACAATATTTAGCAAAGAAAAGTCTTAAATGTATTCCTTAGAAGATTACATTGGAAAAAAGCAGCTATTAAATATACAATATTTAGTAAATAAGTCTCATTTATAATTGATTTTTACTTTTGTTTTAGCCGGAAAGTGAAATTTCAACTACAGCGGATGATTACAGTTCAGAAGTAAGTCTAAATTTTATAATATTATGATTTCATATGTCATAAGTAAAATTGATATACTATTAAGATGATAGATTGTTGGTACCTTATTTCTTGGAACTCACATGCTTCTACTGTATTTTTATAAATATTATAAAATATTGCATACTATAATGTAAATGTAAGACAACCTAAAGATTATGTTTTACTTATATATCTTTTTTCAAAGTTAAGATGTTAAATTTGTTTGAATACCTTAGTCTTTAATTAGTTAGAGTGTGTTTTAGTTTCTAGAAAACTGATACTGAATTTCAAGGTTACATGACAGTAAGAAATGTATCTTATGTATGTGTATGTGATTTTATATTTATGTATAGATGGTTACATATATATGTAGTCATAAACATGAATAATTGTGTATGAATAATATATACATATATTTTTATTTTGAAATAAATTTCTGGAAAGAGCCTTAGTCTTATAATAGAACATATTCCTGTAACACTTTTCTCCTTTCTTTTTCTTTTTTTTTTTTTTTTTAAGGTTTTTGCCATAGGGCAAATATACTCACTGGAAAGACAGAGAGACGGAAAGTGAGAAATCACCCCCTAGGGGAAATGGCCACCATAATCCATTTTCCTTCAGTCTCTTCTCATGATTTTGGGCATGCACACACATGTGCCAGCATGATTTTCAAACCTCTAAGTCCAAGGCTACAACTGTGGTTGGCCTTCTGGGAGTCCATTTTTAACCACCATGCCACCTGCTGGCTCTATACTTTTTTTAATGCTGATGAAAACTAAATTGATTTACAGTTGAACAAAACAGTTTCTTCTTCATTTTTTTTTTTTGAGAGTTTTTTTGCTGTAGGGTGTGTGCGCTCACCAGAAAGACAGAGAGAGACAAAAAGCAAGAAATCACCCCCCAGGGTGGATGGCCGCACCGCAATGCCTTCTCCTCCATTCTCCTCACAGGATCTTGGGCACACATGCATACACAGCTGGCATGAGTTTAATCTACTGGGTCCGGGACTCGAACCATGGTCGACTACTGGGAGTTCAGCAACATAGCCATTACACTAACTGCTAGTCCCTGACAAAATGGTTTCTTAGAAGATTATAGTGAAAAAAGACAATTATTAAATAATTTTGAGAATTTGACCAGATTTGAATTATAACCTTTGTAATACTGTACATCTTACATCTGTATTCAGTAGGTTATACTTTGAGAAACATTTGTATTCACTATTTCTGTAAAAAACATAGAACAGTTGATAGTTTGTAAAATGTGTCATTGTCTCATCAAAATTTTTTGAGATGAATATTGGTCTTATTGATAATGCTCTGGTCCTAGATTTGAGGCTTTATCTTCTCTATTTAATGATATTAAACTGCCTTTACTGAACTAGTATGAAAGAGGACCTCTTAGCCGTATTTACCCACTGAGAAGACAGAAGAAGCACGAGTACACCAAATTTATAATCCAAGGAATAAATCACACACTCTAACATATTGTGAGATTTAGCATATTAGAACCTTTAAGGAATTATTTCTCAGTAATACCACCCAAAAATGAGATTCCTTTCCAGGTAATATAATTTCATCATAAATGCTAGATTTGCAAAATTCAGTAATCTTGGCTGCTCTGGTTTGCATTCGAGTATCCTAAAAATTTATAATCACATTGTTTTAATCATAGGCCACATAATTATCTTGTATTTTATCTAAACATCCTTTTTTAAAAAATTTTTTTTTAGTCAATAGGGAAATAGGGTGATGCAAAAGGTGCTTTGAAGCCAGAACATCCTATGTTCAAATTTCAGCTTTATTACTCTAAAGTCATATGACCTTGACATGCCACTGAAACTCTGAAACAGTTTCCTGACCTATAAAACAGGGGTAATAGTATCTACCTCATAGGGTAATTGTACATCTCACAAGGTAATTGTCTCAATATAATCATGAGACTGCTTAGTACGCAGTTTGACATACTCAGCAAAGGCTGGTTTCTTTATTGCACTTCATTAGAAATAGGCTTTTCTTCACACTATATTCATATGAACAAGTGAGTACTTAGGCTCCTTTAACAAATTATTCTTCAGAATTCTGATAATGTATTTACTAGAACTTAGTTTGGAAATTGTATGTGTATGGATATGATATATTTTCATTTCTTGACTTCTGTGGCTTGTGTACTCATTAGGTTGAAAATGAGTTAGCCCTAGAATTAGTGAACTAATTTTATTTCAAGCTTTCTTTGTATGATTAGTTACTTGATTTCTAACCCCATGAGTCAGTCAGGTACATCGAACTCAAGTAATTTTCATGAACTTTTATGAACTATCAGATTCTTCCTGTTTCTTAAAAAAATTTTTTTGAATAGATATTGAAGACAATATATAAAGGGTGTTTCTTTTGTTTTAAAACTAATATCTGCAGAAAGGTTGGGATTTATGTGGAGACCATATTATAGTTACACAGTGAAAATGATCTTTCTGATTCTTTCTGAATAGCAGTGTTGTTATGATATGGTACTTAATTAAACGTACCTTACTTGTATGTTCCCAGAGCTCCAAGTTGACTAACAATTGAGTAAATTTTGTTTTTCCAGAGAGAAAGTGAGAAATCACCCCTCCAGGGGCATGAGCATGCCAGATCCCTTCTCCTCTATTCTCCTTCTGGGATTTTGGGCACAACGCACATGTACCCAGTGTGATTTTCAGGCCACCAGGTCTGGAACTTAAACCAGTTGGCCATGTGGGAATCTAGTGCCTTAACCACCACACCACTACTGTCTAAATTTTCTATGAATTTAGACAGAATATATTAACACAACCTAAAGGTTATGTAAGTTTGACAGATGCTATAGTTAAAAAAAGACATTGAAAGAAATTGAGCTTTTTATTTCAGTTGCAGGAATCTATTAATTTAATATTTCATGTTACTGATTTATTTTACTTTCATATTAAGGTTCAAGTGTAGTGTTTAAAGACTAATATTAGATAAAACTCTACCCTTTAGGTATCAATAAAATAATTACCTACATTAAAAAACAGAATTTTATTGCTGACAGTTAATGATCCTAATATTCCATCTATTTGTGTTCTAACTTTGCATTATAGTTTGTTTTAATAATAAAATAATCATTTTTATTATATATTTAAAAATTTAATATATTAATATTGGTAAATTTTTAATATTTTATAACATAATTGAGTTTTGTAAAATAGTCATTTAATATTTTAAGAAGTCAATACATAGGAGTTATCAAGTATAAAATTCGCTGAACTTAATTAGAAAAAAATTAAATTGAACATCAACTACATAAGGGATTAGAGCCAATTATTACTAAAAATAACCAATTTTGGTAATATCGATATTACCACTTAAAGTAATATCCATTACTTAATAAATATAAAGAAGCTCATAAACATCTATTTCATTACACTATTACTCTAAAGTAAAGATTTTAGTAAACACTTATCTAAAGGCTTCATTTCAGGATCAAGAAACGCTAATTGCAATTTATAAATATTTCATTTGAAAGTTATTGCAATATCTTGGTATTTATAATCTTAACATGTTAGTACTTCTGGTGAAAATTAGTTTTCACCAATTGAAAAAATTATGTTACTATAGAAATGATTTTATAACAAAATAGTTAAACTGTGACTATAGACTCTTTTTTTTTTTTGAGAGAGCTTTTTGCTATAGGGCACATGCGCTTGCCAGACAGACAGAGACATAGAGACAGAAAACGTGAAATCACCCCTGCGGGGGAATGGTCATGCTGCAATCGCTTCTCCTCCATTCTCCTCTCGGGATCTTGGGCACGCACGCACACGCGCCCGGCGTGAGTTTTAAGCCACCGGGTCCGGGACACGAACCATGGTCTACTACGTGGGAGTCCAGCGACATAGCCATTACGGTAACTGCTGGTTCCCACTATAGACTCTTTAGTAGGATTTTTCACTTTACAAAGTTTTGTGGCCCATATGAATCTAATCTTAATCTTAGGCTATTCTACATCCTATGTATTTCAACAGTAACAACTTAATTATTTGGATTCTGTTAACATAGAATTGTGAATAATTAAGATCTGGACAAAGATAAAGTTGCATTTTGTACTATTAGGAGGAAAGAGGGAATTATTAAAAGGGTTCATTTATCTAAAATTAATCTCCCACCAGGTCAACTCTGGCAACATAGTCTGTCATCCTTCCCCCATCAAAGAATATCTAATAGAAACAGGCAGCAGTATGTTATGGGAAACTTCCACATAGGTCAGAATTAGCATGACTGTAATAGTTGACAGTCCTGGAGGAAAATTCTGGAGGAAGTGTTCTGTACCTCCTCCTCTCAATTCATTTACTAGCTTTCAAGAATTTCAACCAGTAAATGATTTTATTTGAAAAATGAATAGAGCTTTAATCAATAAACAGTTATTTAAATTATTTTTAAGAGATTTTTGCTATAGGGTGCAAGTCCTTGCCAGAGAGACACAGAGAAAAAGAGAAAAAAGGCAAGAAATCACCCCTCAGGGTGGATGGCCACACTGCAGTCCCTTCTCCTTCATTCTCTTCTCAGGATTTTGGGTACACACGTACACGTGCCTGGCATGAGTTTCAAGCCTCTTGGTCAGGGACTTGAACTGTGGTTGGCCATGTGGGAGTCCAGTGACATAACCATTATGCCACCTGCCGGTCTCATATTTAAATGACTTTAAGGAAACATTTTGCGCAAGACGATCTAGTAACTTGGGGTTTATAGTTGTCTTTTTGAAGACCAAATAAAAACTACACTTAGTTGAAACCTTAATTCACTTATATGAAAATGTATTATACTATACTTTTTTCCTAGGAACTAAATGTTTGAAGAAGGTTTGTCATTTGAAATGGACATAAAGTCTTTTTAGATACTTCAGTCAAACTTAGTTACCATATATCTGTTTTTACCAATGAGGCAGTTTCCCTAAACATAAGACATGAGTACAGTTAGCAGAAACATTGTTAGCTGAATAAAGTTATGTTTGAGATCATAATATATCAGGAAATTGTCTCTATACAGGTAAATGGTTGCAGTTTTGTGGTGAGAACAGGAAAGCCTACAAATTTATTAAGGGTATAGTATTTAAACTACTCATAATACTAATGTTTTATACTATTTAAAACTATCTGGCTAACTAACAAAGCTTTTTCCTGCATGTACTTCTTTCTTTGTGTAATTTCTAAATGCTTCTAATGTTTACCAAAACAGTTATCTACCTCTTACTATAAAACTTAACTATAACAGAATTTGCAGATATCCTGTTTATGTTCTTGGGGTATATATTACGTTAACAATAAAGTAGAATGCCATACTGGTAAATTTCCAAGTGATGAGTGATGTTTTAAAGTTGATTTTGCTATGGCATTCAATATTTGAATCCTTTCCCTTGAGGAGTGTTGCTAGTACTGGATTATTAAAAATATTGGATTTATTTAGGAGGAAGAATTTGGTGTTGATGATTCTTATTCTGAACAAGGAGCACAGTACAGTCAGACCCACCTAGAAATGATGGAAAATGAATTAGCTGGAAAACAGCACGAGATTGAAGAGCTAAATAGAGAACTTGAGGAAATGAGGGCCACCTATGGGACTGAAGGACTACAGCAAGTATGTTCACTTTTTGTAGCTTTTGATTTGCTACTTAAACTAAAATGGGAAATTTGCATGATAGTATATGAATGATGATATATACACGCTAAAGATGAGGTTTTTATGTATGACCCACATATCTACTTTTAGGTATATATACAAGAAAAACAAAAACATGCGCAGTACTCACACAGAAACTTGTGCTAAAATGTTCATAGCAGTATTGTACACATAGCCAAAATGTGGAAACAACTCACATGTCCAGTAACTGACAAGTAGATACATAAAGAGGAATTAAGTACTGATACACAGTATCAGTACTTTTCAGGCATGAGCCTTGAAAACATGCTAAATGAAAGAAATAAGTCACAAAATACCAGATATTGTGTGATTCCATTTAAATAAAATATCATGAATAGGCAAATATACTAATATGTAGATTAGTGGTTGCTAGGGTCTGGAGGCAGTGGGTCCTATAGGGTGAATGTTTAATGGGCACAGGACTTTTTTCAAAAAAGTTCTGAAATTGTTTGTCGTGATAGTAGCAGAAATTTGTGAATATACTAAAATAATTGTGTATTTTAAATGGGTGAGCTGTACTGTATGGAAATCATATCTCAATAAAATAAAATTTATTAAAAAGATAAGATTTTAAAATGGTAATTCAAGGTCATCTCATAATTTTTGTTTTTATCTATAGCATAGACAACATTGTTTAAAACAAGAATTTTATTAACAGGGCTACTATATTAATAATATGGACTTTATAAGATAGCTTGGCTAAAATCACTTTAGTAAGGACCAGATGTTTTTCTAATCAGCCTGAGAGAAAATTATGGTACATCAAAATATTATGAATTCAACTCATGAATAATGTCACCAAATCCTTGTAAGCAATCTCTTATGGTTAGAATGGTATCTGTTGTCTGTGACATAACACAGTCAGTTTTGAAAACAAGGTGAAATAAGATATTGATAAGTATGACAGAATACATTTCAGTTTTATCCTCTTCAGGAACAAGCTGGGATTAAACATGTCTATAGTGGTATTGCCTAGAAATAGACAGGGCACCCTTAAAAATGAATGCAGTTGTCATTCTAGAACAGCTATATGGATAAGCCAGACCAAATGTACTTTTTTCCTTAGTTCAGATCATTTTTTTTCAAAGCTCATTTGGAAGTAAAATAAATTCCTGCAAACTAATAGTTTTTAAATATGGAAAAGACTGCTTACAAATTAGAATTTTGACAGTGCATTTTGAGTTTTGTGTTTCTGAAAAAGTTGCCTATAATAATCCATTTTATTTATAAAAATAAGTCTAGCACTTAACTGTTTTCACTGGTTTCCTTTAGTTGCAGGAATTTGAAGCTGCTATTAAACAAAGAGATGGCATCATAACCCAGCTCACTGCTAATTTACAACAAGCCAGGAAAGAAAAGGATGAGACAATGAGAGAATTTTTAGAGTTGACAGAACAAAGTCAAAAATTACAGATTCAATTCCAGCATGTAAGTATTATGAAGGAAACAAAACTGATTCATTTTCAGTAAGGAATTAAACAATCTTTTTCACTTGCCAAGACAAATCTAAATTTGTTAAAAGGCCATTTGTTTATTACATCTGTTGAAAAACTAGTAAATATGTGTTATTATGTTAACCAAGAATTAATTTACTTCATAATTTTGATCTTCTGATACACGCTCCCTGATACTATTTTCTTTGTGTTTCTTCATTGTTTCTATTTTAAAATCCTACAAAATCTTACAAAGATGATTGGGTGTTGGCTGAAATTAGCCTGTAGTTGTAGCCTTTCTTTTCCAACCCTGCTTTGCTTTTATTTTATTATTAGTTAGCTTCTAAAATGGTAACTAGACCAACTATATTCTATTTAGCTTTAATTAGGTCTCCAGGAATCTAACTGCAGTAAGCAGAATTTCTGATGACAAGTGACAGAAAACAATTTGAGTTAGCTTAAACAAATGAGAGAAATGGAATGTATGGATATACAGGCTTGTCTTACAGATCTCAAGGGCAGAAATACCAGCAGGTTTCTGAAAGAGATTGGAGATAGAAAACTGGAACGTAGTCAGGAATCCAGGAAGTACTGTCTTTCAGGCCCACTGCTCTCTACATGTCTGCTTCACTCTTATTTCTCTTACTAGACCTGCTTTTTCTGCTTTATCATGGGCAAGAATTTTATTATTGATTCAGTTAGCTGTGGCAGCATGTTTACTGTGGTCTTAAGCCTAGGAAGCCAACACAGTTCCCAGAGAGCCCACTGTGAGCTGATACCCCAAAAGTATCTATTCCCTAGTGCAGTCACTTCAAAATTTATTATTTTGTGGGTTTGTTTATTTATTTATTTTCTGTTTTCAAGTTACAGGCTAGTGAAACTCTGAGAAACAGCACTCACAGTAGCACAGCTGCAGACTTACTACAAGCCAAACAACAGATCCTCACTCATCAACAACAGCTGGAAGAACAAGATCATCTATTAGAAGATTATCAAAAAAAGAAAGAAGACTTTAAAATGCAAATTAGTTTCTTACAAGAGAAAATTAAAGTATATGAAATGGTATGTATATTTTAAGGAAGTCAGCCAACTTGTAGCAACTTTGAAGTTAACTAAAGTTTTTTATACAAGTATTTACTTTTTATTATACACGTGAACTACAAAATTTCAGAATTAAGATAAGCTCTAAATATGTAAAATGATTATTTTAAAAACAATTGAGACTCACAGTAATACAGTTTTTACAATAATACTCATAATTGAATTTCTTGAAAGCAATTCAGTCTATGTTAAACTAAACTCTCTGGAGAATCTAAATTTATAATTACAATTTCTATCCTTTTTTTTCATCTGAAGATATTTTCACTATTTTAGTCATGGTTATGTAATTCTGAAAATATTTAAACAACAAAATGACATTTTATAGATTTTAATTAGGAAAAAATAAACATAACTTTGTTTAATGATGTTAGTTACACTATACAAAGTTGCTGGAAGAACAATATGTATATATGTATCTGTGTGTAATGCACATAGATTATAATCTTAAATTCTAAAAATAGCTCATCTTGGTTCCTACATTTGGATTCTATTTATTTTTCAAAGAAAAATTGAGGTTCAGATGTGACTTGCCAGAAACCCCCTCATTAACAGGTACCAGAGTTGGGAGTCCAGTCCTGTCAACTCAGTGTTGGAGCTTCTTGCACCACTCTGCACTGCCTCCTGTAGGCTGCATCCCTATGAGAACTAAAACAAGGCAAAGTGTGTTCACCTTATTTGACCTTAGCTGGAAACGTGTGTCCAGCAACTCAAATTTTTGCCATTCTGTGTACGTCTGCAAATGACTGTGGAAGCAACATGGATATTTATTTGGGTATCACAAATAACTTTTAGCAGGAATTCCCAAGTATGAAATCTGCAAATAATGAGGATGGATTGTTAAGAGTACTTTTTTATAAACTTACAAGGTTCTTCTGCAAGAGGTTGAGAAGTTACCAAGACAAGAATATTACTTAGATAATAATAAAAGTATTAGCCAGCATTTAATAAATGCTTTCTCAGTAACAGGAGGTATTCAAAGCGTCTCATACATATTAACTCATTGCTTCATCGCCATAACCCTATGAGATAAAAGTACCATTATCACCTTGGTTTTAGTACTTCGAGGCAAAACAAGAGAGAGAAAATTGCCTAGGTACACAGGTAATAATTTGTAGACCAGATTTCAAGTCTAGGTTGACTGACTCCAGATTCAACTGTTAGGAAATGTACAAATTCAATACACTGAAATTGCAAGAAGTACGTACTTTGCAACTAAGGCAATTTAAATAATATTTAGGTATTTACGTAACACCTATTTTGTAACTGGCCCTTGCAAGAGATAGAGTGATGCTTAAAATGTGCCTTTTCGGGGCCAGCAGAGTGGTGAAGGCACTGGACTCTCACCTGGCCAAACACAGTTTGAAACTCACACCAGGCGCATGTGCATGCCTGCCCAAAATCCCAAGAAGAGAATGGAGAAGGAGGCATTGTAACCCCCTGGGGAGTGATTTATTACTTTTTCATTCATTTCTTTCTGTGTCTCTGGAGAGCACACATGCCCACTAGAAAAAATATCTCTTAAAATTAAAAGTGTGCCTTTTCTTTACTGGAACTTAGGTTTAATAGGGAATATAACATGTATACAAGAGACTACAGAATAAAGATAAGCATGTTGAAGATGTATAGGGAGCAAAATAATGTTCAATTTTTCTATAAAACAGTGGTCTTTGAAAGTGAATTTTTTTTAGGAAATAAGAGTTAAAAAATAGTCTATGACTAAGTTAGAGGAGCCTGGAAGGGACTAGCCAGTGGCATGATGGTTCCAAACCCTCCTACGTGGTCAACCACAATTTGAATCGTGGACCTGTTGACTTGCTTTCTCACTTTCCTTCTCTCTCTCTGTCTCTCTGGTCAAATTAAAATAAATGAATGAATAATATTATATTCAGTAGACAATATAATTTGAGATTATTTGAAATTCAAATGATTCATTATAGTAGGAGGAATAAGCTTTGTTTATTCAGATATAAGCAAGAGTACTTTTACCAGTATCTTTCACTTCATGTATGTTTTAATTTCTCTTTTTTAAAAAAAAATATCTTTCTAGTAGTTATTTTATCTGAGGAACTGAGACATTAGGGTCACAGTTGAAACTGTCTTGGTTCCCTAGACAACTATATTGATGGTCAAAAGCTCATTCTCATTGTTTTAACTTTATAAACATCCCATGGTGCAGTAGTTACAAGCAGGCAGTATATTGTTCCCCACTCTCTCAGGTATATTTTTTAAAAAGAGAGGAATTGGTTCTCAACTACAACGGCGGTTCAAGTCCCAGATCCGGTGGCTTAAACTCACACCGGATGCGTGTGTGTGCGTGCCCAAGATCCTGAGAGGAGAATGGAGGAGAAGGGATTGCGGTGTGGCCATTGCGGCGTGGCCATACCCCCTTAGGAGTGATTTCTCACTTTCTGTCTTTCTGTCTCTCTGTGTCTTTCTAGCGAGCACATGCACCCTGTAGCAAAAATCTCTCCAAAAAAAATTATTTGGTCCTCTTCCCTGGACAGTTCTTGAATGGGCACTGCCAATCTCTCTTTCTGAAGCTTTTTCTTTTATAGGTTTTGACATTCTTTTTTAGGTATTTTAATATGTTCATTCAAGTTGCCTTTAAGTTCTATTTGCCTAGGATCCCTATTTTCTGAAGGTAATTTTACTTATCTTTGTGTATTCTGATCTAATGTGTGTTTTATATTTCTGTCTTTGTCTTTGAGACTACAGACTTTTAACTACTTATAGAAGCAACTGAGTGAGTGAAAACTACCCAAGGGCTTCTGCTTGATTTGTTATGCAGAAATAATTATGATAACAGATATGCTTTGGCCTGTGTCTGGGCTTAGCATTATTGAGAGTTCCAAAACAGAGTCCCATATACAAACTGGGGCAGTCACATTTCTGTCTGAACCCACAATCTAGGACCAAGTTGATATGCCATAAATGGTACTTGTTTTGGATGTCACTTGAGTTTGAGCCACTTAAGCATTGCATATCCCAGAATGTGTAATTCACTTAAGAGCCCAGGAACATAGTTAAGGCAGACTCATAGGAACCTGTTTCTGTTGTTTTCTCTTTTCATAGCACTTGCTCGTGAGGTACATTAAGGCCACTAGAATACTTAGTAGTGCCTTGATTTATGTTTAAGACTTTCCCCTGAAAGTGTCTAGAGAATATGTAGTATTGTAACCAGCTGTAGAAAATATTGAAATATTAATAAATTAATAAGAAAAATGAAAATGTAATGGATTAGAGACATTTAAATCAAACTGGATTTTAAAATTAATATATATTTTTAAATATAGATTTTTGCTATAGTGAGTGTGCACTTGCTGGGAGAGAGAGAAAGAGGGGAAAATGAGAAATCACACCCCAGTGGGGACAGCCACACCATAAACTCTTTTCCTTTATTTTCTTCTTGGGATTTGGGACATGTACACATACATACCCATCGTGTTTTTCAAGCCACTTGGTCCAGGTCCAGGTCCAGGTCAGAGATTCATACCCAGGAGTTGGCCATGTGAGATCCAGTACATTAACCACCACACCACCTGCTGGCTCTTAAATTAAAATGATTAATGATAACAATGTAAGAAAAATTTTTTCCCCCAACAAGGCCCAAAATGCTATAGTGCTATTCATAAATAGTGTTGGATAATTAAGTCCTCGGTCTCTTTGCCTGGGAAAAACTGAGGGGCAGTTTCAACAGTAAACTTTTTATAAAATTGTGTAAAAAGACTTATAGCAGTCTTTTTGTAATGATGTTCAGTAGTTTAAGTTGCCAGAAGCTAAAAATGTCATTCTTATATTTTCATTTTCTCTTTTTAAAGGAACAAGATAAAAAAGTAGAAAACTCAAATAAAAAAGAAATACAGGAAAAAGAGGTAATCATTGAGGAGTTAAATACAAAAATAATGGAAGAAGAAAAAAAAGCTCTTGAGCTAAAGGATAAAATAACAGCTGCTGATAAGTTACTAGCAGAATTACAAGAACAGGTTGCACAAAAGAACCAAGAGATAAAAAATATGAAATTAGAGCTGACTAATTCTAAGCAAAAAGAAAGACAGTGTTCCGAGGAAATAAAACAGCTAATGGGAACAGTTGAAGAACTTCAGAAGAAAAATCATAAGGATAGCCAGTTTGAAACTGATATGGTACAAAGAATGGAACAAGAAACACAAAGAAAGTTAGAACAACTCCGGGCAGAGTTAGATGAGATGTATGGGCAGCAGATAGTGCAGATGAAACAGGAATTAATAAAACAACACATGTCACAGATAGAAGAACTTAAAACACGACATAAAGGAGAAATGGATAATGCTTTAAGATCGTATCCAAATATTACAGTTAATGAAGATCAAATAAAGTTAATGAATGTGGCAATAAATGAACTGAATATAAAATTGCAAGATACTAACTCTCAAAAGGAAAAACTCAAGGAAGAACTAGGAGTAATTTCAGGAGAAAAGTCTGCTCTACAGAGACAGCTTGAAGACCTTTTCGAAGAATTGAGGTTTTCAAGAGACCAGATTCAGAGAGCTAGGCAAACAATAGCTGAACAAGAAAGTAAATTGAATGAAGCACAGAAAGCTCTTAGTACAGTGGAAGATTTGAAAGCTGAAATTGTTTCTGCATCGGAATCCAGGAAAGAACTAGAACTAAAACATGAAGCAGAAGTTACCAATTACAAGATAAAACTTGAAATGTTAGTAAGAGAGAAGGATGCTGTGTTAGATAGAATGGCTGAATCACAAGAAGCTGAATTGGAGAGGCTGAGAACACAGCTTCTATTTAGTCATGAAGAAGAACTTACCAAACTGAAGGAAGATTTAGAAATGGAACATCGAATAAATATTGAAAAACTTAAAGATAATTTAGGCATCCACTATAAACAGCAGATAGATGGTTTACAGAATGAAATGAGTCAAAAGATAGAAACCATGCAGTTTGAAAAAGACAATTTGATAACTAATCAGAATCAATTAATTTTGGAAATTTCAAAATTGAAAGATTTACAGCAGTCCCTTGTGAATTCACAATCAGAAGAAATGACTCTTCAAATCAATGAACTCCAAAAGGAAATTGAAATACTTAGACAAGAAGAAAAGGAAAAGGGTACACTTGAACAAGAAGTTCAAGAATTGCAACTTAAAACTGAATTATTGGAGAAACAAATGAAGGAAAAAGAAGATCACCTTCAAGAAAAATTTGTACAACTTGAGGCAGAGAATAGCATTCTTAAAGATGAAAAGAAAGCTCTTGAAGAGATGTTGAAAGTATATATTCCTGTTAACCAAGAAGAAGGAATGAGTTTCATAGACTCCATTAAATCCAAATCCAAACACTGTAGCTGGCAAAAAGAAATAGAAATGCTTACTGAAGAAAATAAGGACCTGAAACAACAATGCATTCATCTAAATGAAGAGATTGAAAAGCAAAGGAACACTTTTTCATTTGCTGAGAAAAACTTTGAAGTTAACTATCAAGAATTACAAGAGGAATATGCTTGCCTTCTCAAGGTAAAAGATGATTTAGAAGAAAGTAAAAATAAGCAAGAATTAGAGTTTGAAAGTAAACTTAAAGAACTTAATGAGGAGCTCCACTTGCAAAGAGTAAACCCAACTACAGTGAAAACAAAAAGTTCTATCTTAGACGATGACAAAATGTCTATGGCAGAATCATTAGAAATTGGTGAGGTTGTTGAAAAAGATACAACAGAACTTATGGAAAAACTTGAGGTAACCAAGCGAGAAAAATTAGAACTGTCAGAGAGACTGTCTGACCTTTCTGAACAGTTAAAACAGAAACATGGTGAGATTAGTTTTCTAAGTGAAGAAGTTAAATCTTTAAAGCAAGAGAAAGAAGAAGTTTTATTGAGATGTAGAGAACTAGAAATCATCATTAACCATAATAGGTCAGAAAGTGAAAATGTGTATGATACTCAGTTAAGTTCATTAAAAGATGGAGTTCTGACTGTGGCAGGCAGAGATGCTGGAAGATCACTTTACAAAATAAACAGGGATTTTGGTGAAGAATCAAAAATAGAAGTGGAAGATAAAATTCCTCTTGAAAATGTGACTATTAAAAAAGAAAGCAAGCAAGAACAACTGGTTTTGGATCACTTGCCATCAGTAACAAATGAATCATCACTCAGAGCAACTGAACCAAGTGAAAGAGAGAAACTTCAGCAGG